ACACTCTAAAATTGTGCACGCTCGTGGAATGGCGCCAAACTATGGTACCAGGGGCGGACTGACCATTTGGAAACTTGGGCACTGCCCGAGGGCCCGGGGTCTGTAGGGGGCCCCATGAGATGCCCCTGGTACCTTTTTCATAGGCTTTTTTGAGTTTGGGCAAGGACACAGGGACCCCATGATCCCCTATTGCCTGGGGGCCCCATGAGAGTTCAGTCTGCCCCTGTACGGTACCTAAAAATCTCCTTCGGTGATGTTTTAGAACTACACAGGAGGTCTGCTGCTATAATTACTGCTCTTTCACACCTCTTTCCATCTATTTACCATTGAGTCTGTCCAGATCTAGAAAAAAAAACCCCGAAAAATGTCTTACATATGGCCGCCCATAGATCTAACATGGGTCCCAAAAAAATCTCCTGTTTTTAATGCAGTATAAAACTGAACAGACACAGATGTCACAAAATTGACATCCTATCTGTTATGCTCCAGTTCAACAGGAAATTTGTTCACAGATCCTTAAGGGGCCTTAAGGATCTAAGTAGACAAAGCATGTAAAATGGGGCCTGGTGCTCCACCTCCTGGTTAATAAGGAGAATACAAGATACTCACGTAATACATTATTTTATTTTTTTAATGAAATACAGCAGATTTGTTTTTTGTGAACTAAATAACAAAACAAAATATACATAAAATCTGCAGACAGTATGTGAGTGTGCCTACCACCCTGCTCCTCTGATTAGTGGCAGCTTGTAGCCAACATTACAACTTAGCAAATGTGGCCAGGCAATGGGGAAAGCAAATAGAATTCTATAATTAATTACTAGAGGGATCACCAGCAGGAGGAAGGAGGTCCTGATTCCCCTATATAGATCGTTAGTTAGACCTCATTTAGAATACTGTGTCCAGTTATGTAGACCTCACAAACAAGATATTGCTAAGATAGAACAAGTCCAGAATGGTGAAAGGTCTTGGGGATAAAACATATCAAGAGACACTTCAAGAACTTAATATGTACAGGTTGGAGGTATGAAGGGAAAAGGGAGACATGATTGAAATCTTTAGGAAGATTAAGGGAGTGAACAAGGTTCAGGAGGGCATTATTTTCAATATGAAACCCAAGATCAAGAACATGGGGACATGACCTCAAACTAGCAGCAGGAGTGTTCAAAACTAATCTTAGAAAGTATTATATTACCAAAAGAGTAGTTGATGCTTGGAATAGATCTCCCACAAAGGTAGTGAGTCAGTCAACAGTAAATATTTTCAGTTGTGATTAGGATAAACATAGATCTATAATCAGACAAAAAAGTTAAAGAACAAAAAAAAACAAATACAAAACCTCCCAAAACATATAAATATAAAAACGAGGCAGACCCAATGGACCGCTTGGTCTTTTTTCTGCCATCATTCTTTTATGTTTCTGTGATTGTTTATACCACTAAGTGGAAACTGAGATAATTGACAGGCTATAGCGAGCATTGTAATTTATCAAATACTCTTTAACCAATGCGAGGATGATGAATGACACCAAGCCCCAATGCACACTGTGACTGATAAAGGCTTTGAGTAACACGGATGTATCAAGCTTTGAGTACACTCGGGGAAAAAAGGTGACCATTTTGCTCTACAAAGCATTTATAGCTTAGCGATGGCTGAATACCTCTTGACCGGCTCTGGGAAATAGCAACCAGACACAAGAAAGAACAAAAAGGCAACACAAAGGGTCCATTAAATGCTGAAAAAAAACCCTGCAAAATTGAATTAGTCACTCAAAACAGAGCAATAAAATATTTAATCTTGATAAAAAAATGAGGCCAGTAAATTAAAATTAAAAAAAGAACATATAATAATAATCCCAACTATTCATTAGCCATTAACCTTATCCTTTATCCTGGTCTACTGAAACATGGGCAACCTTCCTGAGGTTGGAGTGGTTAATATATGTTGTTTTTATTTCTGGAATTGGGTTCTTCTGTAGGTTAATGAGAGTTCTGGGCAAATGAGATTCTGTGCTGTGTGTTGGGATTAACTTCATAATGGTGGGAGCTGTGTAAACAAGGGAAGATTAGCCTGGTATTTAGAGCTGAATGCCCCATTAATGCGCAGTGAGTGTACTCCATCCATCCCCATGCAGCTAATTCCATGTAGTATAGTCAGAGAGAACTGAACATGCAAGTGTCATCGGAAAGTATAGTGCACTTGCGTAATGTATACTAATCTTTCTGAAGACAAAATTAAAAATATGTGCTGGATTCCTGTAACAAAACTGGTTTTGAACATTTGCCCTTGGGAATTTTGGTCAATGGAGTTGGAAGCCATTTCAAGTCATCACCAAAAATAAAACGTTTTGTTTGACCCTGTGTATTTAAAGAAGCACTCTGAGCCTATACCTTTGCAAAATGTCTATGCTTCATAGTATATGATACTCTGTTTATGTTCCTTTTTGGCATGCATAGTTTGCTTCAACATTTTTACATCTTTTGACATCACCACATTATTTTGGTCCCTGTTATTTTATGCAGCAATCATTATGAAATGGCAAGGACCTTTAACGTTGGTGAAGGATATGGGAGATCAACATTACACTTTAAGATGGAGCCTGTAAATAAGCTTCACTCTATATAGACTTTGCAATTTTTTTTAATTAACATGACCTGAGAAAAGGTTTTGGGTATTCAATGACAATAGTTACCTCTAATTGCCATCTGGCTTGACATTTTATTGGTTCTGTCACAGGGTGCTAACTAGACCCAATCTTTATTGAAGCATGGGGGCCAGTGCAAGGGTAATTTATTTGAAAGCCATTTTCAACATTTTTTATGTTAATGTGTATATTTTATAATTATATTCATTTTTATCTTCAATGCAGTCATACAATATGCAGTACATAGATTTTATTTTGGGGGGTGCAATAGGCTTCATTATTTTTTATGTTTTTTTTTTTTTACTTTTAGATTTATGTATGTCCATTATACAACTCCTCTGAGGAACTAAAATTTATATTGTAAAAAGTGTAGGATGATTAATGACACAGTGGCGACAAGGTGCATATTTATGTTTATTGGGCTCCTTGGTGAATACTAATATTCTTAGGCAATACAACTGCAGATCCACTATCCCATTCCCCACATTTAATATTAGATCCCCCTACAAGGTGATAAGATAATGAGGAACCCATGGCCATATGAAACCAAAAGTTTAAAGTTATGTACAGACATTTTTTTTGCTTTGTTTAGAGTAGGGAAGGTTGAAAACCCCTGCCCCTGTGAGAGAAGTGTTTTATAAAACTAGGGAAATTGCCCGCTTAGACTGTTGTCACCCCAAAAAAGTGTACAGATTGGAAAAATTCTTCTTACTGCTTGCTGTGGTGACTATGCCTAAATTTTGGATTTATGTGGTGTGACGAAACGTGTCGGACAGGGCTTGGATTGCATTACCACGTCCATACGGAACTCGGCATAGTGGTCTGGATAGTGCACAGTGGCTATTGCGAATATTGCAACACCTATTTATTGGCTGTATACCTTGGTGGTGGTTGGCACCTTATACATGTGAGTGCAATATGTATGTTGGTTAAGATTAATAAATTATTTTAAGAATTAGGCACTATTTGCAATATTCTTTGCATGTCATGGAGTGGAGCTGAAAGGAGGAGGAGATATGTATGTAATACTTGAACTTTAACTGGAGAGGAGGAACTGAATCCGGTCCCGCTGGCAGGACCAAAAAGCGCTATGACTGAACATAGAGTTCACCTGGTGACAGTTTGGCACTGGAATTTATGCTGAATATTTCTGCACCAAGGTGAAGTCTTGTTTTGAAGTACGGCTGATTTTCAGCTTACTATTGGACTTTGTTTGCACATTGTGGTTTGAGATTGGGACACTCTTTTACTTGCTATATATGTATTGAATTATATACACAGGAATATATTATAGTATTTATAGAGCATTATAGTAGTTATGTTATGTGGAATATTTTTTATGGTATTTAGTATCATATTTATTATGATGGGACTAGCGCAGCACTATTTTTTATTTGTGCTGTATGACTAGTATGAGAGGTCACTAAGTGCACTGCTGCTAGATACTATTAAACATTATTTTGGACTATATTTTTTATCACATATTTTACGGATTATTTATTGTGTGTTTAGCACAATAAGGTTTAGATTTATAGCAGCGCATAAGGATTTGATCTTTTGCATTTACACATAGGATAACATTAGCTGCTTCTACAGGCAAAACTCAAAATTCCTGTGGAATTAGCATTTTTTAAGCCAATGTGTATGGACCCTTAAAGTGACACTAAGCAATATCCATATTCTCCGAAAATAAAACATAAACATCCATTAGCTAATGGCCTTGTAATCTATTTTTCACAAAATTGTTTCTTACTGTGTTTTTCTGCTTCCTTGTAATCCTCATTTTCCTTACCTCCGTCTGTTTGAAACAATTAGTGCTTGTTATTTGTAGTCATGTTCACTGCTCTATGCACATTACACATCCCTAGGCCCTAGTCCATCTTGGGAGTGAGCAAGAGAGGGTGCTACGTTCTTATCTACATGAAGAACAACCCTAATCACTCACCATCCAAAAGAAAGCACAGCAGCAAACAAAAATAAAAAAGATAAAACATTTGGAGATTTGTGGGAGGCTGAGAGCAATAGAAGGGACTTTTATGAGTTTATAATACATACTACCCACTGTATTGGAAAATGATGGACAGGCAAGAGCTCTCTTGTTCTGGAAGGATGTCATATGATGTCCTCCCACTCTAGCTGCATATACTTGACCATCAGTGGTGCACTGTGTCCCTCAGACACAGTGGACCACCAAACGCAGTAAAGAGCCAATGACATAGGCTCTTTATCATGTGATTAGCTGTGTCCAATCACAGCTGATCCCATGTAAACAGGAAATGCCGGTTATTGGCAGTTCTCTCCTCACGCTGACAGTGTGTGCGGAGGGGAGAGCCGGTAAGCCGCAATCATCAGAGGGGACATCTACACTGATCATCAGGACACTGATCATCAGTGCAGCCCCATCAGTGCTGCCTCTAAGTATCCATCAATGCTGCCTATCAGTGCCCATCAGTGTTGCCTTTCAGTGCCCATCAGTGATGACTGTCAATGCCAATCAGTGCCACCTATCAGTGCCCATCAGTGCCACCTATCAATGCCATCTATCAGTGCTACATATCAGTGCCCATCAGTGCTACATATAGGTGCCCATCAGTTATTCCTGTCATTTCCCATCAGTGCCGCCTACCAGTGCCTCCTCATCAGTGCCACCTATCAGTGCTGTCCATCAGTGCCACCAATCAGTGCCGCCTATCACTACAGCCTCATCAGCACATATCAGTGAAGGAGGAAAATTACTTATTTACAAAATTAACACAGTGGATACAGTGTTGCATGATCGCGCAATTGTCATTCAACAGTGCTGAAATCTGAAAATTGGCCTGAGCAGGAAGGGGGTTACAGTGCTCAGTAGGCAAGTGGTTAAACCCAAGTTTACTGTCACTTTAACAGTCCAAGCAGCTTAGTGGCCTGTCTTTGAAGCATTCTGGTATTGGTTTAGCCCTGTTCTCTGATTGAGAGGCAGACAATCAAAAATTCATTACCTGAGCACAGGATGCCCCACTGTCTTATTTATTACATGGAGCCTTTGTTAAATACCTTCTGCAGGCGACTTGCTTTCAATCACCATGCTGTGTGCGGCCTAGCAGTACAGGGCGCATCCATGCAAATATGTTAAATGTGCACAGGCCTGTCAGAAAATACATTAGTGGGGTTGATGGAGCAAATCTGTAGCACTAAATCAGCGCCAGGTGCCTTCGCAGGCAAAGATTCAGTATCTACATTGAAAAAACGTACTAATTGATTAGCAATAAATTAAGGCAGCGCAGTGTGTAAATCTCAAGCTTGGCTGCAGGGGGATATGGACATTTCCAATGTGCTCAGCTTTATTTATTGTGCATGATAGTGAGATGTCAGCGGTTGTAATTTTCATGTCAGCTTGCCCGAGCTTAGCGTGGGCTGTGGACACCACAAGGCCATCTCTACTTCTTGAAACTGTATTTTGTCCAGTGAAGAATCTAACCTGTGATCTACAGCCTAGCGTAGCATAAATAACTGGCCTATTCAATAAAACAGTGGGTGCTACATTGCATTGATTATATGAATTTTAAATTTAAAGTATATTTTAAGCCAAAACTTTGTAATTTTTTTTTTACAAAGTGTAGGTTTACGATTAAAAACCCCTATTAAATGGTATTTTGCCAAATTAATCCGTTTCTCCTAACTTCTGGTCCTCTAAAAACATAAGGAAGCAGGCTTAGGTCTTGCACACAACAGCTGCGCCTTGTTCCCTATAAAGAAACTGTAGTACGCTGGATTGCATACTACTGCATCATATCTGCGCTATGTGAAGAGAATCTACTGGAATATCATTTCAATAAATCTTCTAAAAATAAAAATATAGCTTTCATCCTCAAAGGGGGCACTGAGAATATACCCAGGTCTCCCACATACTATAAAAGGGTGTCATGTTCTATCTGTAAGGCTAGCGTGCACCCCCCTTACCTTGTGCTTCTGCCTGGAAGAAGCTGGGGGCAGAGCATGGAAACAGAAAGTGTAGGGTCTGGAGGAGCACCAGAGGAGGACTGGAGTCAGTTGCCATAGCAGTGAGTCTTCTGAACGTTGAGATGTAGGCAAGGGTGTGCTGCGGATGCACAGAGAGATGCAGGATTGTAGAAGGAGTTCAGTCCTCCTCTCTGCTGCCAACTGCTGAGACGGGGTGGGGAGCAGAGACTAAACTCTCTGCGGCTGCGTGGAGAAGAGCAGGATCTCATGGATGAGATTGTCCTCCTCTCGGCTGCCAACTGCTCAGGCAAGGTGGGAGTGGAGAAAAGGGGGTTGTTGCAGCTGCAGGAGATGTGGGAGGGCCACATGAAACAACCTGCAGGCCTTGTGTTTGACATGTGTTATACAGGCTGCCAGGCACAAGCATAGTTCCATGCACACTGACATTTCAGGCTTAGTCTAAGGGATGCCTTTTAACTATATATTTCTGAAAAACGTGAAACAGGAGAGGGGTTCAGGGATCAGGATATTCCAAACAGTAAAAGAAATAACAACAGTCAGCTTCTCACTAAACTTCTAAACTTCTCTAAGCAGGCTTTCCTGGAGGTAACAGGGGATGGCTAGTGTATCTAGGACTCAGTCCATATACGTCTAAACCAAACTGAGCATGAAAAGCATGAGGAAGAGAATGGCAAATACACTTCCTGCATAGACTATGTATGGGAGGTTCAAACTGGACAGAACCACCCTAGATGTTTGTGATAAAATGATCAGTGGTAGCGTGGAGCATAAAAGTTAGTCACATGAATGGACCTCTTATGCAGTCGTGTCTCCAAATCCATGTGATCAAACATGTGACCGCAAAGCATATGGCATCCTCTGGCACTTAGTTCCCTTCTAACATTTGCACTCCCAGCAGTCCACAGTAAGGTCTTTAATCACAAAGTCCTAGTAGCTGTATTGCACCCAGCATCCACAGGTAATTCCTCAGTGAAGGAGGCAAAAGATCCTTCTCTGGACCAGGACTCCAGGATGATGTCCTCCAGTAAATAATCCTTTAGCAATCTTCTACAGACCTTCAGCGCAGCACCTGCTGAGGCCTAGACTGCAATTTTCTTCTCTCAGTAACTATCCCTCAAGGACAGCAGCCCCAGGAGAATGTAAACCCTCCCTGGAGAGGAAAGAACACTCTGGAAAAGCCTCTTTCTAGGTATTGGCCTTTCCACCAGACACCTTCTTGATGCCTCCTTCCAGGTATTGGCTGGAACATGATAAATATTCATACTGGTCATTTGACTCTCTCTGCCCTATAATTTGGAAGCTTCTTCCAGAAGCATGTGGGAGAAATCAAATACCTAAGTATCCCTGACCGGACAAAAATAATCAATTACTGCTTCTCTGGCTGCAGTGAAACTAAAAACTAAATTTAGCCTAACAGCCAAACTAGAGGAGGGCTCTACATGAAAAAAAAAAAAAGTGCAAGGTGTCATTGGTACTGTATTGGTACTGTGCAATGTGCGTATTGGTACTGTTTACTCAGCTAAGCACGCACCAGGAACTGTTCACTCAATGCAGCTTGCTGGCGTGAATGAGAGCTAAAGAGATGAGCTTCAATCTGTATATGTCAGTTAAAGCAACTTGAAAATGTGAAAAAAGTTTATCTTTTTTCTTTTATTAAATATAATCTAAACCTGTCCTAACCCTTAGTTTATCATAATCATACTTAAGTAACTCCTTTGCCTTCTCCCAATAGCTATAATTTCACTGCTTCTCTTTAATTTTTATTTTCCAACCATTATTATTGAAATTTGTTTTCTGTTTTTATTTATCAACTGTTATTATACCTCAACCTTTTTATCATCACATTTAAAAAGGCAAAAAAATCAGAGGAAAAAGCCTTAATTTCGTTTGTAAATAACATTGCAATGCTTTGGACCAGAATCAGAATTTATTTAATTTTTTTAGGCAGGACAAATTGTAGAATAATATTTATTCTCTTAGATTGTAAGTTCCAAGGAGCAGGGCCCTCCTATCCCTCTTGTATTGAACTGTATTGTTGCTTTATTGTCTCCCTTTATATTGTAAAGTGCTGAGCAAACTGTTGGCGCTATATAAATCCTGTATATAATAATAAGAAGAATATATATACTTTTAATCTGCAATAACACTTTTTTTTGGAACTAAAACGGATCAAAGCCGGAAAAAGTGTGGCTTTTTTAGTTTTGTCTAAGGATTGCATAAAAAAAAAAAACCAATATGCAATATATACTGTATGTACTTTGTTATCAAAGCTATTTTCAAATAAAAAGGCCCATAGCAGAAATGGAAAAATGGCTCTGGCCCATTGGCGGGCAACAGATATGAGAGCTGAAGTGGTTAAAATGTATTTAATGCGTTTTTTAAGTGTTGGATAGAAGATGGATGATTCACTAGGCAATTCACCCAGTGAATAATTAATAAGTATTTGCCCAAATGAGTTTCATTGGCATTCTCCCTGCATTTCACAGTCTCATTCACCCCATTTAGAATAGGATGAATGTATACCAGGCGAATACAGCTGCAGGTGATCAGCCATTGGATCTCACATGTACAGTATCAGTGAAGGATTGGATTTAGCCTGCAGGAAAATCTGCCGGCACTAGCTCTCCATGGTGATGACGCTGTAATTATGCAGTAGTTTATTTAGTAGTAAATGCAATCACGCTACACCTCAAACCAAATACATTTTTAGAAAAAGTAAGTTGAGGGAATGTCAGGTGAATGTGCAGCAAAGTTATGGTAAAGACCTTTACTTCTTGAACAACAGATGATGAATAATAGACATTGCTGAATATCAGGGAAGGCAGCTTTCACTGGGTGAATCTTGGGAGAATTTCCATGAATTCAACTTTATCCATAGGATGAATGTTCACCAGTAAATTTTGGGCACATATTCAATGAAGTCTTAGATACATATAACCCCAATCTTTGACAGATTTTTATTTCTGTCACCACTGGACAAATGCATTCTCACTATTGGATCTAAGGTAATGACCATTGTCTCTGTTACAGAAAGTGAAGGGAAATTCACAATTCTTGAGTTGTCGTAGGAACAGGAGGTAAAAAAAAATCTTCCAATGGAAGAATTGTTACATAGTTACATAGTTAGTCTGGCTGAAAAAAGACTAAAAACCATCCAGTTCAACCATAAAAAAAGTTATAATCCTATACCCACAGTTGATCCAGAGGAAGGCAAAAAAAACCAGCAAAGCATGATCTAATTTGCTCCTGCAGGGAAACAAATTCCTTCCTGATCCCCCGAGAGGCAATTGGATATTCCCTGGATCAACTTTACCTATAAATTTTAGTATCCAGTTATATTCTGTGTATCTAAGAAAGAATCCAGGCCTTTTTTAAAGCAATCCACTCAAACAGGGGATATCCTCTCTGTTTGGAGATTCCCCCTTTTATTTTTTGTTGAGTCTCTGAGACTGGAAGAGAGAGCTCCTCTAAGAACACAGGCAATAGAAGGAAGGCTGACAGGGGTCTTAAGCTCTCACAAGAAACTTTTGACTTTACATAAACTTTAAAGTGATTGTAAAGTATCACATCTTATTTAAAAAAACATACAAACATGTCATACTTACCTGCTCTGTTCAATGGTTTGCACAGAGCAGCTCCTATCCTCCTCTTCTTGGATCCCCGCTGGTGCTCCTTGCTCTTCCCTCGCATTATAGCCTCTTGCTATGGGGGCACTCATGCGTACTTGCTCCCAAGCCATATCTATG